CGGGTGTTTACCGCCGCATACATGGGGCTGCCCACCAACAAGTGAAAACGGCGCCTCTCCTCTTCTCCAACGCTCTCCTCCTCTGGCCCCTTCACACACTTGAACCCAGAGGAAAAGGGAGTAGCCACATGACCTTCACTTTGGCCAAAGTTGGCGGCCAACACCTCCAGGTACTTCCGTTGGTGCACTCGCATGCTCCGCTTCTCCACGTCTCGTTCGATGTGGAGCCCAAGGTAGAAGTTCACGTCACCAAGGGACTTGCACTTGAACTTGTCATGCAGCTTCAGCATCACCTCCTTCACAAGGTCTGAATAGGGTGAGAAGATCAGGATGTCGTCCACGTACACCACCATGAAGCTCCTCTGCTCCCCCTCGCCAAGCATGAACAAGGAGTGATCGGCCGTTGAGGGAGTGAAGCTGATCCCCTCCAACACTTCGCGCAGCTTCATGTACCATTGCCTAGGGGCCTGCTTCAGCCCATAGAGGGCCTTCTTCAGCTTCCACACTCTGCCACTACCATCGTCAAACCCCTCTGGCTGCGCCATAAAAATCTCCTCCTCAAGGATGCCGTTAAGGAATGCCGTTACGATGTCCATTTGTTTTACTACCCATCCTTTGATGGCGGCTCCCGCGAATAGGGTTTGCAGCGTCGTCGGCTTCACCACAGGGGCAAACAGCTCCTTGAAGTCCACCTTCTCCTTCTGCTGGTACCCCTTGGCTACAAGCCTAGACTTGTAGCGCTCGATCTTGCCGTCGGCATCCGACTTGATTTTGAAGAGCCACCTGGACGTTATCGCCGTACGCCCCTCCGGTAGCTCCACCAATTCAAACGTGTCATTCTCCTTGATGCTCTTCAGCTCACTCTCCATGGCCTTCTTCCACTCCTCAGCATCACTATTCTCCAAAGCCTCCTTGAGAGTTGCTGGTTCTCCCGGCATCTCCACCGGAGAGAAGAACGCGAAGGCACACTCCTCGTAGTCACTCTCCTCGTCGTCTCCGACCATCATTGCCGCTCTGGCCAGGGCTGTCTTGCCCTGCTTTCCCAGCGCATCATAGGTCAGCCTATTAGGAGGTTGAACTCTCCTCTTGCCCCTTCCTTCCTCCTCAGCTGCAGGGACTTGAAGGCCTTGGCGTTGCTGCGGTGTGGCTCGAATCCGTGGAGCACTCGTAGTACGGGAAGGGAGTGACGGTGCACGCTCGCTCACTTGCTGCACCTCCTCCTCTTCTTCCTCTGCATCATTGGCCTCCTCTCCCCCATTAACAAGGGAGGATTGCCTTGTGGTTGTGCTGCCGCTGCTCAGCTTCAAAGGCAGCTCCACATGCTCCAAACCGGAACTCTTCACCTCCCCAAACCGCACGCCTATCTTCGCCTCATTCTCCGCCTTCGAATCTTTGTACATGAAGTTCTCCATGAACTTGCAGTCCCTGCTCACCAAGAACTTCTTGGTGAATGGGTCCCAAAGAAGCCATCCCTTGCTGTTTTGAGCCATGCCCAAGTGCACGGCCCACACCGCCTTGGCACCAAGCTTGTTGTGCCGAAGATGCTTAGGCACGAGCGCCATGCACATGCACCCGAACACCCGAAGCATTTCCACCTTTGGCTTCCTTCCTAGCCACTCCACATAGGGCACCCATTTGTCTGCTCCCACATGAGTCAAGGCTCGGTTCTTGGCCACACACGCGCTCCGCACCGCATCAGGCCAGAAATAGTCGGGTAGCCCGGCTTCAATGAGTAACCCGCGTGCCGCCTCCGTGATTGTGCGGTTCGCTCGCTCGGCGATGCCGTTCATTGCAGGGGAGTATGGCATGGTGAGGGAGTGCCAAATACCATTCTTCTTCAGCCACAACCCAAACTCCTTGCTCAGGAACTCTCCCCCTCGATCGGTGCGGATTGACTTGACTAGACGGTCTTGTTGCCGCTCCACCATCGGGAACCAATCCGCCTTCAACGTTTCAGCCACGTCGCTCTTCTTGGCCAGCACGTACACCCAAGTCATACGGGTGTAGACGTCCACAATAGTGAGGAAGTACTCAGCTCCAGCAGCTCCAAGCTTCAGGGGGCCCACCACGTCCATCACCACCTCATCAAGTGGTGCCTTAGCCGTTGCCTCCGAACTAGAGAATGGGAAACGGGTGAACTTGGCTTGCATGCACTTCGGGCAGCCAAGTACCTCATCGGGCTCCCCCTTCACACGTATGCCAGCAACCATCTCATTCTTTACTAGCCGCTGCAAGATGGGCAGGGCCACATGCCCCATGCGCCGATGCAAGGTGAGCCAATCACACTCCCCCGTAGCCGAAGTTGGATTGGAGAATGCCGCGCTCGCAATAGCGCCCCACATACTCTCTCCGTAGTCCTCCTCCGCTGCTGCCTCGGGGTTCTCCTCACCCTTTTGCTGCTCCTTGGCTGCTGCACCTCTCTCCATAGGTTCACCAAGCTTGCTGGTCCCTCCAAGATTGCACTTCTTGGACTCCTTCTCCTTAGCGCGACCGTCCGCGCAATCGCCGCTACCAACCGATCCACCTTTGGTGCTGACGCTTGCTGCCACTTGCCTCTCCTTAGGCATTGGGACCACAGGGATCTGCCACATCTCGTTGTAGACATCTCTGTCCTCATGAAGGTCCCAAAGAATCCGATCGCCAAGCCTTGCGGTGTAGGTCTTGGCTCCCTTTGAGTTCGTGTCCATGCCGGCCTTTGCCAACCGCCGCACGGAAATCAGGTTGGCAGCAAGGCTGGGCACCCAAAGCACATTCTTGAGGCCCACCATCTTCCCATCAGCACCCTTGAACATGGCCTTGCCCATGCCTTTCACCTCCGCTCGCTGCCCCAAAGCTGATGTGACATGCTTCACCGGTGACGGTTCGAGTTCGGTGAGCAAGTCCAGGCGAGGTGTCATGCTATAGGTAGCGCCACTATCGATCACCCAATAGTCCAGAGGGTGTAGAGTCACCTTCCCCACAGCTGCTGGCTCCTCAAAGCCTTCATCCTTCTCTGGACCAGTCGGTACTTGCGTCGACACGAAGTAGAATAGACCCGGGTACCGATCGTTGCTCGGGTCCTTGTCGTTGTCTCCGCTCTTCATGTTTGCAGCTCCGCCACCGCGACCGCCACGGCCTCCACGGCCTCTTCCTCTCCCTCCTCCTACTCCTCTACTCTCTTGGCCTTGAGCAGGAGTCCAACCATCAGGGAGTTTGTAGCAGTCGCGCCACATGTGTCCGCTCTTGTGGCAATAGTGACACTCGCCGTCGAATCGGCCGCGACCGCGTCCGTAGCTCTTGTCGTCGCTGCCGTAACCGCCACTCCCGCGGCCTCCGCCGAAGTTGCTGCCACCAAACCTTCCTCCCCCTCGTCCTCTACCTCTTCCTCAACAATATCCACGGCCGATGCTCGCTGCCCCAGCGCCATCCGCACTCGCCAACTCACGGCGGCGGAAATCCTCTTGAAGGATAGCTCGCTTCACGTCTTCAAGCGAGAGGCGGGGCAAGTCGCGATTAAGGTTGATGATGAGCGAGGACCATGACTCAGGGAGTAGGGCCAGCAACTTGGTCTTCTTTTGGAGCTCACTATAGTTCAAATCAGCTCCCTCAAGCCGCGTCAACAAGTCGAAGAATTTCTGCACCCCTTCTTCAACCGCTTCATCCTCTTCAATTCGTAGTGTCGCCATTTGCCGTTCCAACACCACAGCTACCGCCGCTATTGCAGGAGCGTGTACACCCTTGAGAGCAGCCCATGCCTTTGGTCCCTTCTCTGGTTCACGCTGGAAAGGCTTGATGTGACGGATTTGGCTGCTCCCCAACGCTTGCCCAAGTAGGAGGTAGCCTTGTGCGCTCTTCCGCACCCACGGGCTCTTCTCCGGGTCGTTCTCGGGACGCTTCTCCGTTCCTTCCATTACCTCCAGCAGGTCATAGTGGTCAAATATGTTCTCCATTCTGAAGGACCACTCAGCAAAGTTGTCACCATTGAACTTGTCAAGGCCAAACACTCTAGGCTCATCCCTAGATGGGCCAACACTTGATTGCACAGGCGCCATGGCTGAATCACGGGGTTGGCCTTGAGCTTGGGCTTCTCCTCTGCCACCAGCACCTCTGCCACCCCTTTTCTCAGGTCCAGCCATTGTCGAAACTGCTCCAAAGGGCTCTGATACCACTTGTTATAGTCACAATAGGCTCCAATGTGCCTAAAACGAAAGATAGAGTGCACAGCCGGATTTCTGCACAGTGGATTCAAACAATCATAGCGTTCTGGTCACAACTTCAAATGACCTGATTCAACTTGGATCTAGAGCGTCTGAACGTCGCCTACAATAGGCAATTTAGATCACACAAGTTCACCAAGTATTGACGACACAGTGTTGGTTTGAACGAACGGCACTATGGCAGCCACTATAGTCTTAGAACACAAAATAGGAAGAGATATGAAGAGTTACGAGTTGGGAATGACTCCCAGCTCCTACAAACCCCAAGAGCCGAGGTACAGTGATGTGGAACAGTGCCACACTGTCCCCAACCACGAAGGGTCTCGAAACTACCCTTCACTAGGGCCTACATCAAGTGAAATGTTACACTACACAAAGTAATGTAACTATCTTCAGTATCTTGAGGTGTACCCTTTTGGCGAGCTTCGAAATCACTTGAGGCTTGACACCAAGGCTCGGGCTCTTCATCACAAACTCATCCTTGAGTTCTTGATGGGTCTGCTGCACACACCTACGACACACCGAACGTTCGACACAGGACAAAATAGAAACCGCGCACGACAAAAATTAAAACCGCGCGCGAGACACAAACGACCGCGTAACACGCGTCTAGCGATAACTCGCTATTGACTCGACACACACACTCGAAATCATGACTCGACATTCACACACAATTATAAGCATGAAATATATATTATCCCATGCCCTCATACCATTCCATACACACACACATGCACGCACACAGACAACAAGCCGAGTGCAAACCGTAGGGTTGCACCAACAGCAGCAAACACCTGACTCGACTCAGCTACCTGGGCAGATTCAGCAGTAGGAGGAGACTCAGAAGTAAGGGTGTACAGGCTCGACCCTGGCCGACGGGTGAGCGCGGCCAAGTGTCGACCTGTCCGAGCACACGTGCAGTGGGTCACTCGCTGACTCGAAGGAGTGAACTGGTCAACCCCTCCATCCTGTAGGTCCGCTCCACTCACCAAGTTCATAGAGAATGAGGGGAGGTAGAGACCAGACAGGGTGCCAGAGGGGGCTGCGGGGCATGGAAGAACAGTGGAGAAGCTAGCAAGGACAGGACCCCCAGAGGGGTCTTCTAGGGAGTCTGCAACCGGCCGACTAAGCGGCGTAAGAGTGGTGCTGTCTCGAAAGAAGGAGCGGGACGCACCCAAGTCCAGTGTGAAGGTGAGGAAGGCCTGAGCTGACGTTGTACCTGAGAGAGTAGACTCACCAGCACCCGGGGCGGCGGACACACTAGCACCTAGAGCAGCAGTCTCACTAGCACCTAGCGCAGCAGCCTCAATGCACGGGTCATGCGGTACACACAGGTAACAGGCACCCTCAACACTATTAGCAACAGCATACATGGCAGCAAGAATAGCATCAAAGTCAAGATCAAAGATAGCAACCCTGGCCTTAGCTTGATCTCCCCAGCGAGGGATCTCTGACGCCTCAGGGAACTGGCGACGCCACGCGTCTGTCAGGCGACCAAAGCAGCGCTGGGTGGAGTGCGGACCTCCGCACTGCTCACTAGTGTGGTGGCCGGTATGGAGAAGGTAAGAGCAGGGACCAAAACCCCCACTGCGCTGGTGTGCAGTGTACCACTCACGAAGCTGCTGAGGGGACATGGTCACACCACTCCGCTGCTGCTGCTGGCGCGGACCACCACCGGTGCCACTCCTCGGTGCAGTGTCGCGACTCGCTCCATCACCACCGCCTCCGCCGCCGCCGCCTCCGTCGCCTCCGCCGCCTCCTCCATCTCCGCCTCCTCCACTACCTCCGCCGCCTCCACTCCCTCTGCCACCTCCACCGCCTTCGCTGCCTCCACTGCTGCCGCCGCCGCCACCACACCCGGCACCACTCCCACCACCACCCCCACTCCCTCCACTGCCTCCACCACCACCTCCACCGCCCCCTCCACCCCCTCCAGTGCCCTTGCTCCCCTTGCCCTTGCCGGTGCGGCGTCTCCCATTTGGGGCAGACGCATCGCTGACCGACTCGAAACCAACGAGGTCGGCCGCAGTAGCAGAGGCAACACAGCGCAAGAGGGGGGAGGGAGAACACCCCTCAAAGACGGGGGTGCGAGGGTCACCACGAGAGGCTCCTACAGCGACTATGCTTTCTCTTTCGCTAGGAGGGCCTTCTCGAGGAGGTCAACGGTGAGAATGGTGGGGCAAACCGAGAGGAAGTGGTCCCTGACTACGCGAAGAGAGTCAGGGAGCCGGGTGACTATGTAGTAGAGGGTGATGTACATGGGGGGGGGGGTTCTTCACGCAGAACTCAGTTGGAAGCGCAGCGCGGTAGCGAGTGTCACTAGTGCGGAGGAGCGTAATGAGGTCAGCGACTGTGGGAAAGGTAGTTAGGTCAAGGAAGAGGTCGGTAGCATGAGTTAGCTCAGTGCAGCAGTGGGAGGGGAAGAGTAGCGTGCAACTACAGCATCGTACAAGGTCTGAGCACTCTTGTACTGGCTAAAGTGTGCACGCTCAGTGGTTGGTAAGTGGCGGCGAACAGCAAGGCGAGCAGCAGCATCATGTGTGGCCCACTGTGAGCGAACAGTGGCCTCAGCATCAGCATCAGGGGCAGGGGAGGCACCAGAAGTGAGGTCAAACAGTGAGAGGCGGTCTGCCCTATCGCAGTGCAGAAAATGCTGCAGATCATCTACCCAGACCTCAAAGTCGACAGCCCGACCCTCAGCGTCAAAGGTCAGAACGCTAGGGGAAGCCATAACAGCGGTAGGTAGGCACTGAGGGTAGTGAGGCAGGGCAGTGCAGTGGCAGAGAGTGGGCTCTTTCCAGGCAGGTGGGGCGATCGGGCTGCTCGGCGTCTGGGCTATCTGGCGGCTCGGCTGCAGGGCGGCTCGGCTGCTGGGCGGCTCGGCTATTGGTGTTGGGCGGCTTGGCCGTCGGGCGGCTCGGCTGCTGGGCGGCTCGGCTGCGGGGCGGCTCGGCGGTCGGGCGACTCGGCCCTCGGGCGGCTCGGTTGCCTGGCGGCTCGGTCGCTGGGCTGCTCGGGCGGTCGGGCGGCTCAGCGGCTCGGCGCTGCGAGCGTTGGGCGGCGGGGTCGCAGACGGCGGCTGGCCGCAAGGGTGGGCGGGGCCGTGGTGGCGACGGGACGGGGCCGTAGTGGGGGCCGAAGAGGGGCCGTAGCAAGGCCGACGGGGTCATAGTTGGGCCGACGCGGGGCCGAAGTGGGGCCGACGCGGGGCCGAAGAGGGGCCGACGGGGCCGAAGTGGGGCCTAAGCAGGGCCGAAGCGGGGCCGACTGGGCCTAAGCGGGGCCGACGGGGCCTAAGCGGGGCCGACGGGGCCGACCGGGCCGTAGCGGGGCCGTAGCGGGGCCGTAGCAGGGCCGTAGCGGGGCCTAAGCGGGGGCGACGGGGCCTAATTGGGGCCGACGGGGCCATAGCGGGGCCGTAGCTCAGTCGTAGCGGGGCTGACGGGGCCGAAGTAGGGCCGACGGGGCCATAGCGGGGCCGTAGCGGGGCCTAAGTGAGGCCTAAGCGGGGCCGACGGGGCCATAGCGAGGCCTGAGTGGGGCCGTAACGGGGCCGACGGGGCCGTAGCGGGGCCGTAGCAGAGCCTAAGCGAGGTCGACGGGGCCGTAGCGGAGCCCAAGCGGGGCCGTAACAAGGCCGACGGGGCTGTAGCGAGGCCTTAGCGGGGCCAAAGCGGGGCGGACAGGGCCGTAGCGGGGCCTAGCAGGGCCGTAACGGGGCCGACGCGGATCCAGTCGATCAACACCTCAGTGACGTCATCCTTGTTGTCGATCCTTGTTGGTACTACTAGAGATGCTGGAGCTGGAGCTACTGAGGGTGTTGGCGCTGCTGTTTCAGCTAGCACTGGTGAGTCTGAGGGTGCTAGACCTGACGCTGTTGGAGCTGGAGGTACGGCTTGTTGATTGTGTAGGTGGTTGTGGTATTTTGCTCTAGCTGGTTGTGGGCTAAGGGTTTGGGCAAAATGTGGTGGTTAGATTTGTTGCGGGCTGGTATTGATCTCGCACCCAACAAGCACCAACAAACCTTTGCTATTCACTACAACACCTTTGGTTTTGCTAGTTTAGCACTTTGGGTTGTTGGGGATTGTTGTAGGGTGAGGGTTGGGTTGGTAGGGTTTGAACAACTCGTCACTTTTCAGATCTGAACTCTTGCTAAAGCTAATCCATGGCTGCCTACTAATTCCGCCAGAATACACTGTCGCACTTAAATCGTGATAGCAATCGGCCTAGATCCTGGTTGAAAGCGTGCGTTACCATTCTGGAAATTAGAGATTAAGACCGTTCCAACGCGAACCTGCTCATAGTTTAAGGTTATGTGAGCTGCACGCAATGTTCCGTCGAAGTCGGCGGACTTAATCTCTTGTACGCTCTCCAGATTCACGCGCTTTCCATCAGTGGTATCAGAGCTGGTTAGGCCTACAACATTCCCTCCTATTATCATACTACGAATTGGCTTAAGAATCTCCAGATCTAGGGTTGGTTATGGCCTAGAAATTAGATGGCCCTCCTAGGTTCACCGGCTCGGATTTTTCGCTATGGCGGTTCCAGTTTACGATTTCGCTAGGTATCAAAGACCTAGAAGATCTTGGTTGAAAGCGTGCGTTACCATTCTGGAAAGTAGAGATTAAGACCGTTCCAACGCGTACCTGCTCATAGTTGAAGGTTACGTGAGCTGCATGCAATATTCCGTCCAAGTCGGCGGACCTAATCTCTTGTACGCTCTCCAGATTCACGCGCTTTCCATCACGGCTGGCGCTGGTGCTGCTGCTGGGGGTACTGGTGCCGTCCCTGCTGGTTGTGGAGGCGCTACGTGGCCGAGGCCGTACTTCGTTCCGCTCCTTGAGCAGGTTCTGCGTCGCCTGTTCGCACTGCTCCCACTAGTCGTTGTATTCTGCGTCCTCCTACGGTTCCACGCACACACGAGATGGCACTGCATCCTTCCACTGCTCCTCTGCGTGTCCCGTTGCTGTCTCCTCCAGAGTCCTCTCTTCCTGTCCTTCCTGACCCTGAGTCTGACTCTCTTCGTGCTGCCAGTCCTACTATCACGCGTCTCCTGGCCACTGTTGTCACTGACCCTTCCTTTGAGTCCACTGCTGCGTCTGCCTTAGTGGCTGAGCTTGTCGACTTCGCTGCTCGGTGTCGTCTAGACTACGCCACTAGTCTTGTTGCTGAGTCCGAGTCTGTCTTTCCTCCATCCGTCGGGGGTGGGTGTGCTCTTAGCACGGACGTCCTTGAGGACAGGCAGGAGGAGTTGCAGTATGTTGCCACTGCTTTGCCTCATCTCGTGTCCACGCTGATTGCTCCTGAGGGAGACCCGGATGCACGAGACATCCCGACTCCTCGATCGTACGCTGAGGCGATCGAGGGTCCCTACTCCTCTCAGTGGCAGTCAACCATGGACGCAGAGATGGCTTCCTGGAAGTCCAAAGGCACCTACGTTGATGAGGTTCCCCCACCTGGGGCGAACATCGTCAGTGGCATGTGGATTTTCAGGGTGAAGCGGCCGCCGGGTTCTCCACTTGTCTTCAAGGTGCGTTACGTGGCTCGAGGCTTCAGTCAGCGGCAGGGAGTTGACTACTTTCACACCTTCTCTCCCACCCCGAAGATGACCACTCTTCGGGTGCTGCTGCACATAGCCGCTCAGCGCGACTACGAGCTTCACTCTCTTGACTTCAGCAAAGCTTTCCTGCAGGGCAGCCTGCACGAGGAGATCTGGCTGCGCCGCCCACCTGGCTTCACTGGGTCGCTTCCTCCTGGTACCCAGTGGAGCCTCCGGCGGCCAGTCTACAGTCTCCGCCAGGCGCCCCTTGAGTGGCACGACACAATGAGGACTACACTTGCGGCTCTTGGGTTTGCTCCTTCTACAGCCCACCCGTCACTGTTTCTGCGCACCGACACCTCTTTGCCGCCGTTCTACATCCTTGTGTACGTCGACGACTTTATCTTCGCCACTGCTGACACCGCTGGACTCGCCCATGTGAAGTACAAGCTGTAGAAGAGTTACACGTGCACAGACTTGGGTGAACTACGCAGCTACCTTGGCTTACAGATCACCCGGGACAGAGCACAGCGCACCATTACCCTGACTCAGTCACACATGGTGCAGCAGGTCCTTCAGCGCTTCGGCTTCACGTACTCCTCGCCTCAGGCCACTCCTCTGTCTACTCGCCACTCGCTCTCAGCTCTGCCTTCGGATGAGTCCGTAGAGCCGAGTGGCCCGTACCCAGAGCTTGTTGGCTGCCTCATGTACCTGATGACCTGTACACGACCTGACCTTGCATACCCTCTTAGCATCTTGGCACGCTATGTTGCTCTTGGGAGACACGAACGAGAGCACATGGCTGCAGCGAAGAGGGTGTTGCGCTACGTGTGCAGTACGTCGGGCATGGGGCTAGTGCTTGGAGGGAGACGTCGAGTGGTCCTCACCGGTCACGCTGACGCTTCTTGGGCTGACGACCAGCCGATACAGCGGTCGGAACAGGGTTACACCTTCAGCCTTGGCTCCGGCCCTGTTTCGTGGCGGTCTACCCGCTCGTCTTCTGATCTCATCTCCAGCTGTGAGGCTGAGATCTACGCGGGGGCCATGGCTGCACAGGAGCTACGCTGGCTCACCTACCTACTGACTGACCTAGGAGAGCCGCCTCGTTCTCCTCCAGTTCTGTACGCTCTCCAGATTCACGCGCTTTCCATCAGTGGTATCAGAGCTGGTTATGCCTACGACATTCCCTCCTATTATCATATTACGAATTGGCTTAAGAATCTCCAGATCTAGGGTTGGTTATGGCCCAGAAATTAGATGGCCCTCCTAGGTTCACCGGCTCGGATTTTTCGCTATGGCGGTTCCAGTTTACGCTTTGGCTAGGTATGAAAGACCTAGAAGGCGTTTTGGAGGGATCGGAGCGAAGACCTGAAGCTGATGAAGGAAAGGCATCTATTGGAGTCTCTAGCCAAGTGGAAGAAAGGGCTGGGGGAGCCTCTAGCTCATCCATAACTGAGGGAAGTGGAGGTGGACCAGCAGCACCGCGAACCGGAAGGCAATGGCTTAGTACAGAGGAGCTTCTTAAGGCACAAGAAGCATGGGACCGCAAGGACAAGCAAGCGTTCTAGTACCTGTGTTGGGCCTTGGAAGGCCAACTAGAGCTCTTAAAGATGCTGATTGACCTCAAGGGCAAGCAAGGAGCAGGTGCACTAGCATGGAAGAGAGTTCAAGATCGACATTTGCAAAAAGGGTTGTTAAGCATACTCACCTGGAGGAAGCGGTTCTATACCATGGAACGCAACTATGGCGATGGGGAGACCATGGTGCAGTACCTCCAGAGGGTGGATGAGTATGTGAGGGCATTGGAGGAGCTGAACTATGAAGTAGATGAGAAGGAGATCATCTACACCGCACTCCAGGGGCTGGACCAAGAAGCAAACGAGGCTCTACTACAATACATTCACTTAGAGCAGCAGAAATGGACCAAGGCCTGGATATGGGAGGTGTTGGTTTCTGATGAGGCTCGCAAGCGTAATGCTGGTAGAGGAGTTGAAGGGGGAATGGGGGCAGGTGATAGGGTTGCCTCCAAGAAATACCAGCAGCGGCACGGAGGTGGGGGGAAGAAGAAGGAGCTCGACAAGTGCCTCGTCCCTGGATGCAACCGGAAGCACTCTTGGAAGGAGTGCTAGAGTCGACCAGATGGGTGGAAGCCTCAAGGGTACCCAGGAGAGGCTCCACCTGTCACTAGGCCT